TGAGAGCCCAAAAACCTCGGGCGCTTCGGCTTGGAGCCCCAAGTGTGATCTGAGCATGCGCGAGAAAACAGACGCTCTGATTCTGCCCCGATGCCGTGTGGAGAGATCTCTAACGGACTGAAATACACATTTAAGGGAATGATTGGTATAATAGCATGATTTCCTCATTTTGACTATAAGTTTCAGATAAATAATAGACATTTCTTTTTGCTCATGCTGGCTCACGCAGCTCAGGCGGGGCTCCGCCCACAGCGCCCCTATATACCGGCCGCCACTGCTTGGTTGGCTGTCTCTTATGCTGTGTTCACACCAGACGCGAGTAACATCATTTGCGCAAATGACTTACATGTAAAGTCAATGTGAGGACGCGATGAGACGCGAGCAAATGTCCCACGGCGCGATTGACCCGAATTGAGCGATTTAGACGTGCGATATGTGCGTCTAAAGCGCAAGTTGAAAAATCTCAACTTTTAAGATCTGACGCGTTGCGATGGCCAATCAGCATTGAGATTCTCTTGTGAAGTCAACAACATGATTCATTCATTTCTTTGCAACTACACTGTGAATACTGATTGATTTACTCACCCCAGGAGAAAAGCAGTTACATTACTGGCCAAGGCAGACCTCAGTGCTCAGCAGACAGGCTGTCCCTCTCCTCCCGTTCACACACAAGAATGCTACTCTTCATCTTAGCAAGCTAGCAAGCCGAATTGCTTGCCATTGCAATGCTCGCGGGACAAACCTGCGCTGGCTCCTCGTCGCTGTGGTCAAAGTGCTCCTGCTGGCGGCCGCTCGTCCGTGTTGTTGTATGTGGCACGGAAAAACATCGCTCTATCTCAGCAAGCACCTGTAGTTAGTATCCTGGAGGGATATTCTGGTACCGATCCTCTCCAACAGGTAGTCAAACTGGGTCCAGATCAGCCAAAAACAGGGCTGGAAGCGGCCGTCATCCATGCGCAGCTCCTGGAGAAGGTGGGGGAATTTCCCGAGCTGTGTGCGTCTCTGGGGGATCCCATAGATCCAGCGTCTGGATCGCGTCATTGGCACCAATGACTTGAATTCAGACACAAATCTTAACGCACGATTGATGCGATTTATACATGCGAATGAAGCGAGTAAACTCAGTGCACACTATAGGAGCCAAAACACACTAGACAGTATTTTGAATTATAATTTTACCTTTATGATCTTATGAAGATCCCAGAGTATTTCAGATTGTTCGTACAGATTGAGTCAGGAAAATGTTTGTTTACTCAGATGTAGTTTGTTTATTTGGTTTTACTGTTTCTTTAAGGGGCTGCAAGGTGGCGCAGTTGGTAGCACTGTTGCCTCGCAGCAAGAAGGTTGCTGGTTCGCGTCCCNATAGGGTCTTCGCACCCTTTTGGTGCTCGGACCCTAATAATAATCACAACGGATACAATAGGGTCCTTGCACCGTTAGTGCTCGGACCCTAATAACAGCCCTTGTTTTCAACGCAGTCTACGTTGTCGGACTCACTGTAAGTACTGAAAATTGATATTTATATTTATTCACTTCTTTTAGATATTTTTTGACTTGTTTGTTACTGAGAATGTAGATCTCCTCCAACCTCCCACTCCATTGTGATGTCCAGGGGCTTGTACTACGAAGCAGGATTTGGGGTTAGCGAGATATCTTCAGGTTAAAAATCTTGAATTGTTGGGATTTGAGTCTTGTGCCTTGGTAATTTTCTTCCTGTGTGTTTTGCTGCGCTGCTGAATGCTCTGCATTTTCAGGCTGGGCAGGGCCATGGTCGAGGAGGACTCACTCGCTCTCCACCGCATGATAATCAGCGCTCCTATTAAACCGGCTTCTCCCCGTGATGCGGCGCCAGAGGATTCACTCCCCTACGAGCGGTAGATCGGCCACACTTCATCTCGAGTTCTCGTGCTTGTTGTTTGTTTTTTTTATGCTGACCTCTTTATTTTGGCATTCCCTACAGAGCCTCCTCAGCCTGACGTCTCCCCAGCCCAGCCATCTCGAGTCAGTCACCAGCAGCAGCCCTTCGATTTTCCCCCACTGGATCCAAGCACCACGAGCACCCTCTCGCCGGAACATGGATTCCTCCCCTGCACTGGAGCACACTGCTGGAGCCCCCATAAGCCCTCTCACTCCTTCCCCACGAATAAAAACCCTCTTTATTATTGACCTTGTCTCCCTTGTCGCATTTTGGGTCCACTTCCTGTAAACTAGGAGATCACTCCTAACATGAATTTTCAGTCCGACTATGGTGGTTCACTTCTTACCAGGGTACAACAACATGGTAACTTACGCTGAACGGCTAACCTCCTATGCAGCAGGTTATGTTCGAGATTGAGATCACTGGGTGTAAAAGCACCTTCCACTGAAAATCTCTCCCATGAAACTTCAGAAGGAGTAGAAAACGAAGCAGTTCTCAACAAAATGGCATCACTATTTATAGAAGACATCAAGAACGCAAATTGTGAGGGGATCACTGAGGAGTGCGTGGGTTGTTTCGGGACCGGCAGAACTACTTAGCACACCCTGTCGAGTATCCCTATGAGCTCCTGTCTTCCTTAATTCATTTTTTTTCCTGTTGGCTACAGGCAATATCAAAGCTATTTATATTTTTTCCATACCAATATCACCCCACAACAGTAAACTGATTATAGCATTAAAGTTTGTAATTGTATGATATGTTAATAAGCCCACTTAGGGCTTTGAATTGCGATTTTATGTTTGTTTTTAAGTTGTTCCTATGTCCTTTTTACACCACCAGGGTTGCAGCTGAAAGTCAAAAATATGTCAGATATGCCACAAGTACACATGAGTATACAAGTATACCTTAGGCAACAAATAAATTAAAAGGAATTCTCAGATTTGCTTATTGTCTGAATCATCATGCCTTCATGATGGAACATCTATCCATCCATCAATTATCTATACATCGCTTAATCCTCAGTAGTGTTTCGGGGAGGCTGGAACCTATCCCAGCTGACTTAGAATGAAGGCAGGGGACACCCTGGACAGGTCGCTAGTCTATCGCAGGGCTACACTTAGAAACAGACAACCAAGCACTCTCACATTCACAATCACCAATTAACCTCAACATGTTTTTGGACGGGCTGCAAGGTGGCGCAGTTGGTAGCACTGTTGCCTCGCAGCAAGAAGGTTGTTGGTTGGCGTCCCGGTGAGTGCACCGGTATCTTTCTGTGTGGAGTTTGCATGTTCTCCCCGTGCAGCATCGGTTCTCTCCGGGTTCTCCGCCTTCCTCCCGAACAGTCCAAAAACATGCTGAGGTTAATTGGTGATTCTAAATTGTCTGTAGGTGTGAATGTAAGTGTGCTTGGTTGCAGTGGCGGCTGGTGAGAAAAATAGTAGGTGGGGCTGAAGGTCTGGAAACCAGAACCCTGTAGGGGGGTCCGGGGGTATCCTCCCC